GCCCCCCCAAATCCGTTTCAGCAGCTCTACACCCCAGCCAGTCAAAGTCCAGCCTAATCTAAGGCCCTGCTTTTAGAGAAGGTTGGACCAGATGACCAGGGATCCAGAGATCCCTGCTAATCTAGCTAGACCTTTCAGTGATCCTATGATTCAGCGTGTTGTGTTTTGGGGAACTGTAGGTAACTTTATTATGTCCACTGTTTGAAACAAATGTATTTGTTTAAATATGCATATTTGTTTAAATATGCTTTAAATATTACCATTAATTAACACCTGCTGGTGTTTGCCCATTAAATAATCTTTTAGATGTACTCTGTAACCCATCATACATGTGAATACTTTCCAACATGATCATCTTCAAAAAAGCTATGTTTAAAGTAGATACAATTTCAATTGCCAAAGCATGATTGAATCACGATTCCTGTTGAGTCAAATCCCACTGTTAGGTCATTTTTATCAGTATACGTTGTCTCAACAGTGGCTGTTAAGATCCAGCTAGGACTCTGATAGATAAAAGTAATCTTTCTGGGGCAGCTTCAAGCATTATTGCATCATCCCAGCCAGACTTTTTCCCAGAAATCACAAACCCCATGGCAGTCAGCAGCATGGGATATGCCACTATCACGGCTGCTACAGTTTGCTGTCAAGTTTATTAACTTAAACTGCCAGTAACAATATATGTATGCTAATATTATCGTATGTATGCTAATATTATCATATGTTAATAACCAAGGCCTGGGCAACTTGAGAGGACCAAATGATCGTGGTGGGGCTGAGGGTGAGGAGTGAGGCGACGTAAGGCAGTTTATAACCATAATGATGCTGCAATAAACCCGCATCACAGCTAGACCACTGAAATGTACCCCGGGCCATGTCTAGCTTCTGGTACATCCCAGTAAAGCAACCCTGGCAGTGAGAAACCATGCTGAAATGGTTTCACTATTTCACTGTGATAGTTACTGTCCTACTGGTCTCAGGGCGTCTCCTGCAGGAGGGCGGGACAGGAGTCTTCATGGCTTTGTGAACACCACAGGGCTGTCGCTGTGTAGTGCCGTGTACTGCTGTTGTTAAACAGCTTCCATGGGCTCCCAAGGCTGTAGCCATTAACGATGGATAAGGTGAGGTTCATGTTTAACACATGCATATAAGCAAGCAAGCAAACACTTTCATAGGTGTATTCTTTTTATCCATTCTCTCCCCAGCTCTTTGAAACCCATGATTTCTGCCAGCAGCAAACCGGCCATGAATTTTAGTCTCAGCAAAATGCTCCCATTCTGTCAGTGTGCAATGGAGAAATGTGGAGAGTCCAGTTTGGTCCCTCAGTATCAAGAGGATTGCCAAACTGAATTAGGGCCAGGCAGTAAGTCTCAATGTCTTTGCCACTTCTCAAGCAGGTGTTGAAGTAAACATGGAGCTAAACTGCTGAGCTGGCTGTTGGAGTAATGCTTTGGCTCTTTGCAGAGAAATCAATAGATGGAAACCACGTGGATACAGTCGTATTTTAACCAGCTGGTTTTGATAAAAACACACAAAGATAGGAAGCCTCACTGTGCACACACGCTGCTGTTTGAGGCTTTTACTGACAGGTACCCAGCCTAGGCATGACTAGAAGGGGTAGCAGCTCAACTCCTCTGTGCTACAAGTGGTCCTTTGGACACAGTTCACTCCCAAAATGAGCTTTGTGTCCAGTTTCTGATGGTTCTGGGAGAAAATGCCTGGAAGTCTGCATCCTGGGTCCAACACACAGATGTGTTAAGAGTTGCTTATCAAATTGCTTATAATCTGAAAAAATGGTTGTATTTTTCCTCCAATCTCATTGAAAGGACAGACTGAAACAGTTCTGCTGAACTTTTTGCAATGGTTCAGCCCAGGTCTGAGACGTGACATGGAAACACTCAGCAGCTGCAGTTAGAAAGCCCTGAAACCCACGATGCCCAGAGAAGTTGTGGATGCTCCGTCCCTGGAAGCATTCAAGGTCAGGTTGGACGGGGCTTTGAGCAACCTGACTGAGTGAAAGATGTCTCTGTCCATGGCAGGGGAGTTGGACTAGGTGATCTTTAAAGATCCCTTCCTACCCAAACCATTCTGTGATTCTATGATCTTAGCGTGGACTATGTTGGGTGACCCTACATAGTAGCTCCTCATGGTATAAGATTTTGCAAAAGGTCGATGTCTTTGCAGTTTATCAAAGGACAGAAGTCCAGACGGGTGTCACTAGCGCAGGGTGTGCAATAGGTGACATCAGTGTCTTGCTACGTCTCTCCGCAGCTGGATTGCTGTGGCCTGTCCTGCCCTCTAGTGCCTGCAGTGCCATCTCCCTCTGTCCCCTCTCTGCTCCCCCTTGCACCCACAGCCACTCAAGGGGTGCTGCCCTGGTTCTGAGCAGGGAGCCGGAGCTGCAAACCCCCAGGCCTCCCCCAGCCCACTGTGGGTGCAGAGCTGGCCACCCCGCAGCCTTACCTGCCTACGGGGACAGCTGATGCTGGGGACACAGACCAGAGAAAGGGGATTTGGAGGGGAAGGGCATCAGGAGCGGGGGTCCCTGTGGGAAGGTGGTGTGAGGGATGTGGTGCTCACACCCAGAAGCGGCTCCTCCAGCCACCTGAGTAGCAGCCCCTGAGGCCCCCCACCATCAGCAAGGCCTGTGCAGCACAGCCTGCGTGTCTGCCAGCATCGCCCCAAACAGGTGACTGCTGCGCCATTACCCCATATCCCTCTTCCCCTCCTTACTGTTGCTTATGGTTTTCCGCTTCTCCAGCAGCTGACAGGATGCGAGCGGTCCCCTCCTCTGCCAACCTGCCCATGTCTGGGGCTGAATTCAGGTACCAGGCTAATAATGGAAAACTGCCAGTACAGCCAGCATAAAGCTTCATGGCCCCATAAAAGCGTAACCCATTTAAGCAAACTCTACCACAATACACAATGCTTGAGTTGTATCTATACCTTCTAATGAAGTAAAAATGCAGGGCATACAATTCATTATTTTTTTATAATTTAAGAATACATAATAATACCACAACCTATTTAAATAGGATAAATCAACACTTCAAGTAAATTTTCTAGCAATCAAACACAAAGCAGGAGTGACAAAAATGAAAACATTCCAGGTGATCACTTTCCTCTTGTAACATTCCGAAACCAAATATTCAAGTCAGCATTTATTTGAATTTTTTCAGGAATGATCTATGGCAGTCCTCTAGGTTATGCTAAGTCTCCTGTAAATACATGACAAAACAATCGTTCAGTAATGAGGAAACCTTAAAACTGACATACAGTGTTCCAAAAATGAGCTGAAACATGTACAGTTCTCACGAATCATGTCATGAAGCCTTTTTATTTCTCTAGATAAAATTAGCCTGAAGTTATTTACCTGACTTACCTGAAGTCATGATAGGAGTCTCTGTCATCATGGAAAAAAAACAATGCAAAATCTTGGTCCTACTGAAATTGATGTAAACCTCCCACTGACTTCAATGCCTAAACCAGAGTTTCATTTCAAGCCTTCAATTCCAGTCATATGCATAAAAATAAATTCTTCTTAGAAACTTACAGACAGATGTAGGTAGTGAGCACCAACTACCTTAATTTCATACATGTAACACATTTTGCTGGATGCTTTGAGGAATCAATCATAAATGAAAAAACAAGCACACCTTATTGAAATACTGTCAACTTAGCAAACAGAGGAGGAGTTTATAGGGGAATATTCCAGCTTTGAAAAGCATCCATGGGTGTGTCTGTCTACAATCTGTACTATGTGACTCCAAACACTCAGTTTTAACACATTCGTATTACATGAAACCACTGAGTGGATTTGTTGGTGGTTACATCTCATTACTTCTGATTTTCAACTACCTACAGAGAGAGGTAAATACCTGACACCTTCCCAGGGAGCTTTTCCATGTAAGCAAGAGCTGCCCTGATTATCACTGGACATCCTAGCCCAGGATGGAGGGAAGGCAGGGTCTGCCTGTGAAGCCACACACACAGGTGGTCCAGTGAAAAGTCTGGACGTCCCTTTTGAGGGTATGAGATGTGGAGCAGGTATGTGTCTCTTCAGGTGTCATTTCTGAAATCCCACTCTCAGACTGGGATCTGGCCTGCTGGGTTAGCACACATCTCCTCTGACCTGCAGAGAGGAGGTAGCACAAAGCAGTCTGGACAAGGTGGGACTTTTCCCACAGGTGCACCTAGCAAGGAAACGGGTTGCTGCGATAGAGGGCAGATGTACTTTTATGAGGGGGAATTCCCCACTTGTGGAGTTGGCCTGTGCACAGACAGATACACGTGGCATTGCAGGTGCATTTTGTCAGTCATGTCTGGTACTGCTTCCAGTGAACCAGCAGGAAAGGATAATTACAAAGAAAACTGAGGCTGGACTCAGCACATGGCTCCAGCCCCTCACCAGTGCTCTGGGAGTCAGGAGGCTGAGGAGGATTTTGCACTGGCAGAAATTCCCAGTGGCAGATAACTCTTTGAACCCGAAGAGCTTCAGGAACAACAGCCTTTGCTCTGTTACCTGTTGAGATGCCCATCCAAGTTTGTCAGGAAAGTAGAGACTACCATGAGTGAAAATAAATTTATCTAAGCGCCATAGCAGCTACCTTTCAAAATAAGGCAATTAAGGAAATTCTGTTCTGAGAACATTATCAAAGCACTTGCAAAGGTTATTAGGATGCTCTCAATGTCCTTCTCATGACCTTCTAGCACAGGGTGTGGGAGAGCGTTACTTTTCACTTGTAAATGTCCCAGGTTTTTGATGGATTGGATTGTGTAGAAGGGTATAGAATTTCACTGCTATTCATGGCACTAGTAACCTCTCGATTCTTGCAGCCTGAAATCAGCAATGTTGGCATATGGAAAACACGCTTTAATGCTCTACTATTGCTAAGGCTCATCCTTCAGCATGGCTAGGGCACAATACTTGTAAATAGATAGGAATTCATTTCTTCTTTCAGCTAAGCCACTCATCTCGGTTTACTTGGTGACTTGCCTGCCTGTTACTCAGTTTCCAAATCCTCTGTTCCTTCTCGATCTGATTCTTCTAACTGGAAAGAGATGCGACGTGAAGGCTGTTCCTCAGCGACAGGTTGATCAGTCTCTTCTTTCTCTGTGACAGGTCGGTCAGCAGCGTCTGTCTCATGGGCCACCTGGGGCACTGCATCTGTTGGCCTGGGCTCTTCAGCAGGTGCCTCTGTCAGATCAGTCAGAGGTTTATGGCTGAATGCATCTAAGCGTTTTTCAACCACTGTACAAATTAAGGCTGAAACAGAGAAAGCCACCATTAACAAACATGGAAGAAAAAAGCTATATTTGAGATTATTTTATGTATTACTGACCTATAACTTCTTAAACAGGGAAAAGGCCCCAAAATAACACTAAAAATGAAAGAATACTTGAATGAGAAAAAACATCCCTGCTGCTGTAGCCTAGTTCCAGCCAAATGAGCGGTTTACACTGAAAGCAGTGATTTGAAAGGGTTCACCTGGATTGTTTTGTTGTTTTCCTCACAGTTGTTCCTCACTTCCAGAGTGGGTCACCCCACCAGGAACAAGGACTAGCCAGGTTGCACACAGCATGATGGTTCTAGCAGTGGGAAATACTAGAACTATGGGAGTCATCAGAAGAATTTCTCTTTCCAAAAAACATCTGTAAAGCGCCTATTCTTTATTATTGTTTGCTGTTTAGCCTTCATAAATTTTTCTAAAGAGTATGCCCCTTCGAAATCAAAGAACACAACAAAAAAAAAAATCACTCACTTTGATTTTACATGTGAAAAATAAAGGCCAACAATGAAAGAAGAGAGGTTTAACACAGAAAATAGGACAATGTACAGGTACTAAAAAGAGCTTCATTGTTAATTCATGGGTTGACTTTAGCAAGTAAAAGAAGGAATGGTCATCTCTGAGAGGACAAACATAGCCCCCTTACACTGTGGGTGCTTCCCTTGTAGTTCACAGCTCTTTTATTGGATAGTGACAAAATGAATTCTTTAAGTAGCATCTTCATTCAAATAGGTTAAAAATGGATCCTTAGAGATTTTTCCTATGCTTCTCCGTAATGGGGGAAGAAGCCACAACCTATCTCAGCTGAGGCTGTGTCTGCCTCTACAAAACTTGGAGAATCTAATTTGCAGAGATCATGTTTTCTCAGCAGTGGGTGATTGGGTATAAGTCAGGAAATACAGAGGGTAAACAGCAAAACAGGGGCTGCTGGTATTACTTATTGGCCTGCTCCAGCTGTTCTGTGTATCTTAGAACTGGTGCAAGACCATGATATCTGGTTAAAAAATTAAACAGAAAGATTTAACAGGAATATGATAGATGTTTTCAGCAATAGTGTATCCTGCAGCAACATCCTCCTTGGGTTGTTTATTCAGTAGTCACATACCATACTCCTTTCTTAAAAGGAGAGAAAATTCCCTTCCTCCTGTGAGCTATATGAAGAAGTGATCCTTGAGTGCACATACCAGCACATATATCATAGGATAAAATACTTAACAAACCAGCTGTAATTATCCAAATTATACACTAACAAAAGATCCTGGTTAAACTGAAAATAAACCCAAAGGAAGGAAACAAAATTATAATTCAAACACAAAATCACAGCAGGAGGAAAACCATAGGAATGAAAGATGTAACACAAGTGTAAAAAGTGGTTTGATCTTGGACCACCACAGTGGACACGCATTCATCATAATTTTGTGTTTCTACACAAGACGGAGTTTACATTGTTCAGGTATTTCAACTACAGCCTCTGAAGGCTGACTAATAAAAGAACTTGAATACTTTGCTTGAACTAGCTCAAAAGACGACTGGTGTTTTAATCTATTTCAAAAGCAAGGACATGATTATTGACTGCTGAGGAGGTAAGCCCTTGTTTTGATGAAAAGTGTTGGTCACCTGACTTCTCACTAAACCATGGCCTACAATTATCCCTCTCTTCTCCTTTTATGAAGGATGAACATATTAGGATGAATGTCCATAGCTCAGGGAGCTTACACAAATGAGTTAAGAGACTTTTGTGGTATACACATGGCTATAGACAGGATAGGCTTTTCTGTTCCCACTGGCACAATCAGGCACACCACAGAGAACAGCACAGCAATAACGGCTGTGCAACACATGAGAAATAAAAGTTTTATAGCAAAGAAAAGAATTGGTGCTCTTTAACCATTCTGCTCCTCCTGAATGTATTCATCTCCCAGCATCAATACATCTCAAAACGTGTAAAGCCAGCAGAGAGAGGGTAGTGCAGCATGACTGACACTTCTATTATTTCAGCTGAAAATCAATTACCTAGATGTATGTAGTAGTTTCCCAACATTAAAAATGTTTTAATATAGTAAAAAAAAACCCAAAAACCCAAACAACCCAAACCATAAAACACCCACAAAAAGCCACGGGTACTTGGAGTTCTTGCTAAAATGACACCTGCTACCTTAACCCACAATGACCCTGTAAAAGTGATATTTGTTCTGACGGCGGGGGGGGACACCAAGAACATCAAGCAGCCCAGATTACATTCCAGGATTTGGTAACTTACAGTCAAGCATTGTCCTCCCCAGAACCTTCTTCTCTAGTGTTTCTTCCACTTCTGTCATCAGCCATGGAAGGAATTCTGTCTCAATATCTGTAAGCATTTAGCAGGAAGAAAGAAAAAATGTCTTTTTATTAAGGATGAGCAACAGGATCTTGGGGCTGTTTTTCATTTGCTATGATCATTAAAGGATGAACATCCTTGCCAAAAGACACTTGCTTTGCAAGAGCCAGATGAAATCTCTCAGGTGTTGTTGGGTTTCTTATCTCCACCTCTCTTACTGAGGTTCCTCATTGTTATGGACCCAGACCAGAGTCCTCTCAATCCTGCAGTGATTTTCAAAGCGGTCTGGCACCCTTGAAGGGCTAGCACAGATGAGACACACAGTAATGTTCTAGTGAGATGAAAATAACTATCCTGAACAAGTCAGGAGAATAACATTTCCTGCCTTGCTTTCCAAAGACGTCTGGCTTCTGGTCTGCTGAAAGCATTTGTTCCCTCTGACTAAAGAGCTCTTGCTTACGCATTTATTTCTCAGATCGTGCTCTTTGTATGCCGTGGTCCCAAAGCCTGACCTGTTTGCAAAGTACACTCAGTTTCTGCATATACCACATAACTCATTCTGGAGAGAGCGTATCCACTCCCAAGCTGCGGTGTGGGCACCTGCGCAGGGCCTGGGGAAGTGAGGTGCAGCAAAGCAGCCCATAAGAAATGGTGCTGATTCTAAAAGTTTGGAAGTCACTGATGTACAACTCCGAAATTATTTTCAGGGCCTACTTATAATTGACTAATTTCTCCATTGCTCTGATAATCATTAACAAAGATTCAGAATAACATACAGATTTCTTTGCCTGTCCTATCAAAATATATTTACTTCAATTTGGATCACGCTCTCTCTCTGCTCTACCAATCCTAGCCACCCATTTATTTCTCTCCAGTTCAAAAGCAGCTCTTCTCATTGTAACACTGTCAGCTCTTGCTTAACCCTTGACTACTTGTAAACAATGTTTGTTTTAAAAATTTGAGTTTGGAAACTATCTCTTCAGCCACAAAGGTAAATTAATAAAGTCTTGTGACATTATTGTAAATCATAGGACAATAAGCTATGTTTTATGGTTGTTCTGACCTTTATATTACTCTGTTCACATATTTAAAAAAAAAAACAAAAAAACACCACAAACCTCTTTCTATAGGGTCATAAAAAAACCCACTCTCACGAAGATTGTTGAAGACCGAGGGAATGAGATCAGCCAGGTAACGCTTAGCGAATGCCCGAGCTGCAATTTTCTCTGTGGTCTCTTTCTGTTTCTGCAGCATTTGCATGTGCTGGAGTTTGCGACGTTCCTGTCAAGACAATATTGCGTGTAAAACTTTCAAGACCTTTAGCTGTTACTCCTTTGATCTAGACTTTGAAGAATGATCGGAGTCATAAATAGCAAAGATAATCAAGCGTACTGATACTTATGGCCTCTGACTTTCACAAAAACTGCTCATGTGAACAAGTGCTTGAAAGCAAGCTTGTACTCAATCTATGGAGTAATAAAATCTACAAGGACTAGAGGGAAACACATTCCTTTGGTATACCTTTTCTGATTTTGGCAAGTCTGTAAAATAAGGGCCTTGTAGCTGGCTGAATGAAACCCTTCTCTGACACCTTAGTATGCATTGATCTCATGACTCTATGCTTTATTACTGCAGATAAAGCTGATCATTGGTCTTGGAATGAGATGAAGTTGGGTCAGGTTTTCCTGAACTTTTCATCTTTCCAATTTTATATCCCATTTGATGTAATTAAAGATTAAAACTCAAATTGGTCCAGGAAGACATGGAAAAAAAATTTAAACATATGAGGCTGGTGAATAATGTCCTTTCTATTTACTAGATAGTACTAATATAGCTTAATACTTGGAGATCTTGAGAGGTATGTGTGCACATACGGTAGGTGCATGCATTGAGTGTGAAAGACTAGGAGGTGCCTCTCTTACTTTCAAGCTCTGTGACTATTCATTTAGTGGTTATTATAATGAAAAGGCTTGAGTAACAGCTGCATCGGGTACAAAGGGTACTGTTGCGTTTGGCCTCTTGATCAGGTGTCTGAGTACACCAGGTCAGTGGAGCATGACTGCTCCGAATAAACACAACAGCATGGTGCTGGTGCATGAGAGCAGATGGCAGAGTGCAGCTGTATGGCACCAAAATGCTTTGAGGAATATAAAACTTGACAATAACCTTTTGGGCACATCCAGCTTATTTCACAACTTGTCTTTACTGGAAATGGTTTTCTCTCTTCTGTTGAGCATTCAGACAGGCCTGTTCTGCTCTTAGGAAATCCTACCTTCTCCTCTCTGTATCGCCTGTCCTGCTCTTCCAGGCGCTGTACTTCAGCAAGCTCTGCATTACGCAGCTCTGCATAGGCACGCTGATGTGCCCACAGCTGGGCCAGCTCTTCTTCCTCCATGACTTCCAGCAAAGCTTGCTCAACTGTTTTCCCAATCAACACTTCCAGGATTGGCTTGACTTCAACATCAAAGTCAAACAACTGAGGATGGGAGTCAGTGAAACAGAGATAAATGTCCCTTGATCACAATCACTCTTAGCATCTTGGCAAGGAGAAAAGGAGGATGAACAAAGCCCTTGTGCTGAAGGCAGGCCTGAGAAGGG